TCCTGCTTAGCATATTGTCACAGCAGCCTCAAGTGAAATAGCATGTCATGAATACCGCCTGCTGTGCCAGCCCATGCAGTCACTTGTGCATTGTTATAGAAGCCTCCCCACGACCATGTCAATGCCGCACAACATGTGTGCACGATAGAGAAATGGAACAACATACATTGATTTTTACTAAAAACCTTTTATAAACTCCATTTAATGCTTTGGGCATATTTGAAAATATTTCAAGAACTACAGAGAAAAGTATTTTGTTTCAGTTACAAATCTGCATTCTTTTTATTGCAATATTGTGAACTGATCTATCAATTGGTTTAGTTTTGTAAACAATTTGTAAGTTTATCATTTCGTCTAATAGCAGTTTTATTAATAAAATGAAATAATTATTGTAATTTCCTGTGAAACCCAATTGAAAATGAAATTACTTTTATATTCATTAAAGGGGTATGAACAATGTACTTAAGTTACAATTCGTAATTGGTGATTATATATCTTTTTTGACATCATAATACACAGTTATTTGATGAAAGAACTTCCTCCCCCTATTTATTCTTTATTGATCTAATGAACAAGTGGCTAGTGACACTTTAGAAAACTTTTACACTAATTTCATAGAGAATAATGATAAGCAATAAAAAATAGTTGTATTTTTATAAATCACAATTATTTTTATTACTTTTTGAGAATTTTTGTAGTTTAGTTATTTTGCAGTAATTGAACTTCTTGCAAGTTATTATAATACTTGTTTTACTACTGAGCTGAAATATCTATTCATTTTTTCTATTATATTTTACTTTAAGATATTAATTTTGGTACTGTTTAAGTCTCTTCTGTAATTTTGCAATTATTTCAAGTTTAGTAATTTTTTCAAACATTAAGATTCATTATGAAATATGATTCATGCACATCAGTATCACAATATCAAAGATTTTTAATAATGAATTAAATGCAGTATATATGTGCTGATTGGGTTCTTCAAATTATTTTGCTATTGTCTCTATCTTTTTCATTAAAAATGTCATTCATACATGAGCTCTACTGGAAGTGTTTCTTTGGTTTTATCTTAAATATCATTGATTACAAAATGAGATAATCAAGAATTATTTGTTGAAGTTTTGAGTTATTCTGTAGTAACAATTTAGTCATATTTTATGGTAATTATTTCCTGTCTATTTTTCTATGAATTTTAACATGAATAACCAATGGAGCGATATTTAATGAGCAATTAAATAAGTTTTTATCTAGACTTGAAGCTTGAACTTATCATGGTATTTGAACTGAATCATCTTTTGGTGTAAGGAGACAGGCAAAAGTTTGTTATAACTTTGTTAACTCTTATAAGGATTAATCTTAGATGAGTTCAACTTTTTACATATATTGTTTTTATTTACCCTGGTATTTTATTTCTTTGCATTCATATTTCATTACTTGAGAAAAATTAATTTTATAGGCTCAAATTATTTCAATTCTTATAAGTTGTATTATATTTACATGAGTTAACTCTTCATGAAATGCATTAAAGAAACAAGCTTTTGCATTCTCATTTCTTTATTGATCATTTATGATTCTTTCACTGGACATATTTGATAGTAATTTTTTTTTTTCTCTTACAAAGCTGAAAATGATTTTTTTTTAATATTTAGTTTCTAACTTTGTCTTCTGATTATAAATGAATAGTAAATTAATCTTTTAATTTAGGATGAAATATTGAATAGTAAAATATTGCTTTGTCATAGTTTGGGTGATTCAGTCCTTATTCAATTTGCTTGTATTTTGAAAATAAAGTTTGTTTTTTTTTTTTTTAAGAAAATGTTATTTGAAATTACATCCCATAAAAAAAAAGGTTTCTGATCTTATTTGAAGACATATTACAACCCATAACAGGTTTAATCTTTATTGACTTCCTAAGAGGGATTCTTGAAATCCAATATGGCTGCAGTAGCCATGCCAACAAGAGATTAGTTATATTATAGATTCATTTGGAAATACATTCTCTATCTGTAAAATTAGAAAACCTCTGTAAAGAAGTATTAAAACATGTTTTCAGGTAGTGTCCTACATTGAGTAAAATCAATATTTGATAAGATTTGAGCTTCCATTGTGTCTATCCATTTCAGTGAAAATCAATGGAGCCATGTCAGCCATTTATGTCACAGTCCCACTATATATTGGGTCACCACCACTGATGTTGTCTTGATCTCAAACATTACCACATCCAGTGTACAACACTTGTTGATTATCACCATGACTTTGATTACTCTGCTCTTGTTTGCAAAACATTGTCACTTAAAAAAATGATTCCATTTTTTTTTTTCGTCTATCATACATTAATTTATATTTTTGAACCAAAAAAAAAAAAAAAAAACTGTATCTACCCTGAAGACTTTGTCTTGAAGATCAAACATCAAACTCAGTCAATTTTTATTTCTTCTCTTCAATAAAGAGGGGGAAAAAAGATTGATTTCTGGTTTCTCTTTATTTTTGACTTTATTGAAAATTTTAGAATAAAGCTTTGACCTTGTATGTCTAAGATAAATTTTAGATAAGTACACAGCTTTTAGTTTCTTTTTTATTTATTTTAAAAATACTGTTTTAGAGATATTACCGAATATTAATTTCTGTGAGTAAACATTGCTGTAAATATAAATAAAAAAAAAATAACAATAATGGGTATTTAAAATTTAACAATTTTTACTTTCCAGAAAATACTCTTAAATGTTTGGTATGTATCTGGCTTTCTCTAACTAAACAGAACCCTTATGAACTGTCTCAAAAATGTAGACATTAAGTTATATTGACATAAACTTGAAACTCTTTTGAAAAGCATTCATGCCAGTGAATATTTTTCTCTCAAAAATCTTTTCTTAATTCACTTTCTAGATCAAGTTTCTGAATGAATAAGCAAGTGATATTCATTTCATCAATGTATTGTCATAAAATGAAGTTCATATTCAGATAAAGATGTCCCTCCAACTGATTATCATTGATATTAATTTGCTTATTTTGATTTTAAACTGCAAAAACAAGAAAAGATTCTATGAGTAGAGAAAATCATTACTCATGCAGTAGTGCTGGAATAAATATTTCAATTAATGTAAAGAACAAAATTGACTGTTTTTATCTATTTTTACCATTTTCAGCTTTGATTAATTTAGTTTAAATTCAAATTTTGATGTTATCATATATAATCAACTTCTTTTTCATGATTTTAACTAGAATCTTTGACTAACTTTTTCTATGAGATATCTGAAACTATTTCATAAAGATAATCTTTGATATTCCATCTCATTTAATTTGTTCAATCTGTTCATAATTCAGTCTTTCGAACAATTATGGAAACAGTTAAGATTAAGCGGCAATTTAGTATTGCTTTTCAAATGGAACTATTCACCCTATTCTATAAAAAATAAGTTTCCAAACTTTTAACATCAATTCATTCTTTTTCTTCAATTCTTATTTGGCATAGAGAGATATGAATGAATGCTTTATCAATTATTTTCTCAAAGAAAGCTCTTTACCATGTCAGTGTAATTACAGTTACTTCATAATTGTAAACTAAACTTACTGCCCATATAAAAACTCTCTCAAAAATTTATATAATAGATTTTTGTAATAACAGTAAATTTTTTTTAATAGTCAATTAGTTTGTTTTAGAAATCAGGTGTATTCATTCAATGGTTTGTGATATTACTTTTTTTCTTTTGAAAGTTACATCCCTGAGATGAATTAGAAGCACATATATACATTTTTACTTAGTTCTTTATAAAATTCAATAGCAATTTAACACTTTATTAGATCAATTTTTTCCACCAAATATTAGAATATTTTTTTCTTTATAAATTATAAGTATATACTATAGAAATCATGAAAATTTCTTTCTTTTTTCTTTTTACTGAATTTTTTGCTCAATAAATATACACTTGGAGATAAAATAAGATGATTTACAGAAACTTTTATATGAAATGTGTATATACTGTTTATACACAAAGCATGCTTACATCATTTTCAAAATTTCATCCCTCAATCCAGAATGCTACATAGCTAATATTTTTGCTAGAAAGAAGAGAAGTATTTTTCTGCTTTATAACAGCCATAAAATCTCTTTTAGCTCAGAAATAACTAAAATTGTTATTTTGATTGTTGCCACTGGTCTGATAAAATTGGTGCTGCCAGGTATAAGAAGTTCAGAATAGATTTGTTGTTGCTCTAAAATATAATAGGATACCCAAATATTTTTGATTCCGTCTAAAATCAATAGTTATCTTATAAATGTATTTACACCTGAAATTCTGAAAAGTATAAAATATTTAAATAATACCTATTCTCAGGACACTCTATGAATGGATTAAATATTCAGGATAATCCACTAGGGGATAAATACTTATGAATAAATGTTTTGAAAAGAATAAAATATAAAAGAAAATGCCTATGCTCAGGATCATTCACTAAGGGATTAAGGAAAAGTATGATAGTAGGGAGGTACAAGTTTTTATTTTTATCTATGCATAGTTTTAAAAGATTTTAAAATGATACACTAAATGCATCCAACATGAGAAGAAGCAAATAAACTAAGAACTTGAAATTATTGGATTATTTCAAATGCAATTAGAAGAGTGACAGAAATTAGTTACAAAATGTTATTAATATATAGTCTTGATTTGAAAGGAAATTGACCTTGACTGTATAAAAAATACATTTGATAAGTATTTAGGCTTTTATCTGTTGTTTATTACATAATCTTTTCTTGACCTCTATATCTCGGTCTTGTTTTAAAAAGTAATCAATCACTTATAAGAACATTTCTAACATCAATTTTGTTAATGTCAGGTGCTATTAGTAATATATCTGAGTTAAAATTACAGTAACTTAAATAGGCAACAACAAAAGTTTTGTGCACACTAATGACCATTTGGCTGTATTTGTTACTTCTTGTGTAAAACTTTTCCTTTGTGTGTCTGTCTTCTGTCATAGCTGTAACAATTTTACTTTTCTTTCAGATGTTTACAAGTGGAAAAATAGTAATCACCACATGTCTACAGATTATAGTAAGTATCTTTGCTATTTTATTCAATTATTTTTTTTAGATTTAACAAACCAATTTGAATTTTGTAACTTTTTAAAGTTTACATGTTTATTAAAATAATTGTCACCACAAAATATATTGAATTATAACGTTTTCATTTATCCTTTTGTTTTTCATATAAAAGTTTGAAATGTTGGAATCTTGTCAAATATTTACCTACTGGGATACAAATATGTCTACATTTCTTTCAGAAACTAGTCTAATAGAATAGCAAAGCTTTTCATTCTAAAAAAAAGTTACAATATTTACAAAAAAATGCTTAATACAAATATAATCAAAATTTGTCTTTTGCTTCAAATCAGTTTTTAAAATCTTTCCTTATTTTTAATATTTAATAAATCTGATGCTAAAAGATACAAAAGTAACATTATGCAAGTAATGTTCAAATAAAGATTACTATAAATTAATTATTAAAGTATATGAATAGTCTCTATTCATGTGTTGAACTCATTTTTCACACACACACACACACACACACACACATATATATATATATATATATATATATATATATATATATATATATATATATATATATATATATATATATAGTCACAACTAATACATATTTTTACAATGAGAAAGTATGGTTGGTAAGTAAAATTAAATGTTATTAAACATTAAAACATACTCTTAAAAATATAGATTTTTACCAAGTTGAACTCACTCCAAAGGTCACCTCCAGTGAAAGTGATTGTACTGTCTAAATCAAGTAAAGGATAATCTATATGCCTTGAAGATCCTAGCTTCTACCTGGGATTGAACACTGGGCACAACTGCTTCATCTAGTAAGCTGGCTAAACTCCTATTTGTTAAAAAAATGCTTGTTTGATGAAATCCCTTAAAGCAATAGTTAGGTTCCACTGAGCCTGCTATTTCATTCATTTTTTACTGAAATCTTTTTGCCATTTTAAACTCTGTAATTTCTATGCATATTCCTTTACAATGGTATTATTGTCAGCTTGTATGTGTTTCCCCCCTTTTGAACTTCCTGCCAGCCAGCCCTTTACTTTGATGACTGATTTTTGCTTCTTTTAAATGTGTTGAAAAAGGAAATTCCAATGGGTTACCTCAACTGTGTCAATGACTGAGTGCTTACAATAACACTCAATTTCATCATATTGAATAATATGTGACAGGTAACCCCACCTGCACTAATTGAAGATTTTTCATCATCATCATCATCATCATCTATGAGTCGTAACCCACAGAGTGAACAATGAAAGCTATTGTTTTGCAGCTTTCCTTAAAAGCTTTTCATTTACAGTTTTTTTCTTTCTTAGGTCTCTAGTTTTTAAATTGCTTTCCTTTTTCTTTTCTTTTTTTTTCTTATCGGACAACTTCTCTCTTTCTAAATTATTTACTGTAGATGGCAATTTATTGATTTAAATTTCTTTCATAAATCTACAACTTCATCTGGCACATGTTGTAAGGACAACTTCAGATTTTATATTTGGACAAGAAATTGACCAGTATGTAAAAACTACAATGCCATAGTTATTCTTTACAAATATGTTTAGTTTTTTTGGGGGAAAAAATGATTGCTTTGCCTCATTATTAATTTTTTCCATCATTAAACTTGCACATTGGAAACTGATTGAGTCATTAAGAATTTCATGTGTTATATGTTTTTACATAAGCAATTATATGCAGAAGGCCTGAGTTTAAAAAGAATGAGTGTTTAGAAATTGCTCATACAATTTATTTTTCATATCTTTCCTAAAAAAAGCCTGATTTTTTTATTTCACTATTTTATGTTTTTAATTTACTTCCCCATATCTTTTTTTTATTATTTTGATATTTAAATTTGATTATTTCCATGAAAACAATTTCATAAAATTTTAGCTATTTCATATTTAAAAATGATTACACTTTTTTTTTTTATTAAACCTCACAAAGTTATATTTAATTTTACTATGAAATTAGTTCAAGCCTTAATTGGAATTCTTAGTAGTAATCTAGTTAGAAAGTATTTTCAGATATTTTTACCATTAATACTGCACTATATCACTTTTTTCTCCATTTGTTTTTAAGTTATTTTAGACAGATTTTATTTAATCCAATTATTCTGTGTATTCTTTAGTCATTGATTTGCAGTAAATAAATTGAAATGCTGATTTTGATCTCAACAATATCTGATGTATTAAAAATATTATTCATAATAATTTTATTTTTAAGCTTGGCACTGTCTTTGTACAACTCAAAAGTTTATGCTAAGTCGGCTCACAGTATCTAAAGTAGTTGATCTGAATTGCATAAAAAGAGAGAAGCCAATTTTTCCCATAATTCAAATGAATCAGCGAGCATCGCAACCATAACTTGCCAATATAATATTGCTATTTTTTTTTATCACAAAATTACACTTGCTTAATATTTCAGTCAAGATGACATTTGTGTGATTTAATTCCAAAATTATGATTTATGTATATTTTAACTTGTGTTTATTTTGCAGATTAGTTAAAATTCAATTTTAGAGAGTAATTTAATAATAGAAGAGAACTTTAAAAAACAATGAACTTGAACTGTGAATCATTGTCAGCTAACTTTGTATTGGAAACTCATTTTTCTTTATTCTTTGCTGTATATATGTTTCTTTAAGAGTTATCTATAAGAGGGTGGTGCTGAAAATTTTTTAGTCTTACCCACTCTCCCAAAATCTAACCAAATGAACAAATATTAGATTTTTTTAAAATCTTTTCTTGATTCTGCAGGAAACTCTTGAATACTTCTTCATTATTTAATACTATGTCACAAAGTGGAAATTGTTTCAAGTGTTTTCATATTGACCAACTCAGTTTTAATATTTTGTTCATTTAACTCTTGTTAATACTGGATTATTGAGTAACAATAACAGCCTATTTCATTAGAACAATTAAAAAGCTAAAAAACAGTATCAAATGCTTAAAGAATTAATTTTAGATCAGAGATATTATTAACTGATTATATGAGAATTGAATTATTAAAACTTTTAAAACTATTTGCACAGATTGCAATTTATTACTCAAGTAAAATTTTAAATATAGATCAATATTTTTTTAATCAAAGGTAATTATTATGCATATTAAGATGTAATTATGTGTACACATACACACAAGTAAGTGTCACTAAGTCTATAAGCAAAGAAAAGAGATTGATTTACCTACCAAATACATATTTTCAACATAATCTCCTTCCTTATCAATACACTTAACCCAATGTTTCTCCATTATTCACATAGATCAAATTAGTGAATATTTCAGATCAAAATACAGCTAATAACTGTCTCGGACTACATACTTATTAATGCATTTTCATAGAATATATTAACTGAATTAAAACAAATAAAAAATTATTTGGCATAATTACAGTCATAAAAATTTGTGAGAGCTTACAAAAATGTATAAGTAATGTCTGTTCTAAAATATTAGTCAGAAATCCTAGTCATATTTTAGTTGTAAACCAGGAAGCCCAGGTAGAAAAAATATGGAGTCACTTTCTCTTTTCAACATATATAATCCTGTTTTGGGCATGCAGATTGCATAACAATTATTGCTGCAGAAAGCAGAATCGGTGAGTTGAGTTCAAATTCTGGTCAATCTATTGCATTCACTTTCACATTAATGCCCATGGGAAATGCATGAATCCATTTCTTCTCCCTTAAGCATGGGCTGAAAGCCTTAGGAGTTCACAGATAATAAAGGAAAGGAATCTGTAGAGAGACATGATTGCTTATTTTATTATGGCATTTATAAAATAAATAAAAGCTCCTCTTTCAAAATGACTGCCTCAACAAAGAGCTATCATAGAATTTCTAGCTTTGGATGGTGAAAATGTTGCTGACATTTACAAGAGTTTAGTGAATGCTTATGGAAAGGCTACACTTGATGTAAACACAGTAAACAAATGGATCAGTAGAATTAATAGCATTTTTCAAAATGAGAAACTGACCTTCATGTCAGGCTCTGCAGTAGCAGGTAAACTGCTGCTGTAAATAAGGATTAGGCTAAATAGGCTAATACTTTCATTACAACTGACAAACGATTCACTATTGTAAAAAAACTGAAAGCCAAGATTAAGTCATGGTAATGCATGTAGTTTAATGCTGTCTCTTGGCTGTTCAGAAGTTTGTGCTAAGTGGAATCACAGAATGCTGACAAACTCCATGAAGGACCAGAGAGTGGTTGCTGAGATTTGGAGCAGTACACTATATATAGTTCCTTGCTAAGCAGGATAATCACAAAAAATGAGACCTAGTTTAACCCAATTTGAGCCAAAGAACAAAAAAAAATATCAGTGGAATGGTACCACCCAGAGTCACACTGTTTTGTATTTGTAGTATAACTAATAGCAAGAAAGAAGCGTTTTTTTCATGGGTGTTGGGGTGTGAAGATAGAGATGTGATTTGGGAGCAAAGAGGCTAGAAAGGTTTGGGAACAACTGCCATCCGAAAAATGATGACCTTTGTGTTTTGGGACCAGAATAGTCATACTGTTAAAGTTTTTGTTTCATGTCACAACTATCAATTCTGACTCAGACATGAGCACATTGTTCAAACTCAGATCAAGGCTTCTTTAAGCTAGACCACATTTGAAGATGAGTGATGTGCACACAGAAGTTTAAAAACCAAACAAGCAATCACAATGCATGGTTGGATAACCTACAGCCCTGAACTGTTTAGGCCTATAAAGGAGTTTCTCAAGAGGGCAATTTTTCTCCAATGATGAGATGAAAGCGGCAACTTGCACACAGCTAAGCTTCACTGAGGTAGGCATACATGCCCTTATTCAAAAGTTGAATATCACAATTGAGATGAAAAGTGACTATGCTGAAAACTAATTTGGGAATTTTTTGACTTTTGTGTTCATTTTGATTTCTTCATTTTGTTTTTACTGTTAAACTTGTTGTAATCCCCCAAAAAAGATACATTACTTTTTGACCAACCCTCATAGACATAAGATTTTCTGAAAAAAACTAATTTCACTTAATGCAATTATTTAAAAGAAAGTGTTATAAACAAATAGTTCTTTGCCTAGGACCCATAGATTAAAGTTATTTGAGAATACCTGAAATTAAAACTTAAAATACTCTGAAATTCCTTTATTTCTTTAATCACTATTTCAGTATATCAGTTTTCTATCATATAGATTCTACAAATAATTTTTGCTTTTGTAATTGTAGGATAAAATTACACTTATAACTAATTATTTTATAAATTGTAGAGAAAGAGCTTTCTTGATATTTCCTTAGTGACCTGAGCTTGTATACATATGAGCTACCATGTTAATGCAATTAAGAAATTAAGAATTATGAGTTACTCAATTCTATTAACATATTTATGCTTTGATACACACATGCTACTAGTTTAAAACTTCAGCTAGAAAAGCAGTTGGTTTTCTCTGTGTTCCAATATAGCTACCAATATCAGATTGAACTTAATTCATCACCTGCTTCTACTGTCACAGATTTGGCTTCCACTAATTAAAACTTGCTCAAATTGCATTTTTGCCTTAGCTGACCACTAAATAATCTATTTTCAGTTTCTTCAGAACTGTAAAGTATTTCACTCTGTACAACTAACATTTCCCATCAATGTAGCACATCTCCCAAACTGTTAGTATAGTAGTTAACTGTAAATCATATTAAAAGTCTTAATCTCTCGCAAAGTTTCATTTTATATGAACAAATAAAATAAAATACATTAGTATAAATGTATAGTATGAAAATTAATTTTACTTTCTTCTCCATTAAAAAATTAATGAAAAACAAATATATTTAACTGATTTCTAGTTCAATTAGATGAGGATTTATTAGTTCAAAATTTATACTGATTCATATTAAACTAACAAAAATTCAGAAATAGTTTTGTGTTTTAAAGAATTATTTCTTAATTTTAAAGAAGTCTCTATGTAAACATATGTCCTTTCTAAATAACAAAGGTATCTATCCAAAATATAATAAAACACTTGTATATCCTTGCTGTAGCTTGCCCTCATTTTTTATGAATATCACACTTCATTAAGTATAGAAAGGGATTCATTTTGTTTTATTTGGGTGGTATCTAATGAATTTTAAATCTAGCTCTGCAATAGAACCAATTTTAAAAATGAAGTGTAAAAACTTTGTTGTATAGTGTAAATAGCCATTTATTTGTTAGTCTTTAAAAAATAATTTCTTTTGAGTTGAAGGACTAGCTGATTCATTAGTCCATTCTTTTTATTGTAGGGGAAGTGCCATGGCATTCTGGGTACCCTGACATACGTCCTGCCTCAGCCACCCAGAAAATGGACTCACCACCTCACAAACGTGGTGCCACTGCCCCTAGATCACCTAGCTTACCACATTGGGGTAAGTATCATTATTCAATTTATTTGCTGTGTACCTCTTCCTGACACCTGACATTTTTAATTTGCAGCTTCATGTGATGATGAATGGCAGACTAAAATGATTGGGGGCCCATTTCTTGTGCACTTTACTGCTATGTGATTGGTGTAAATACTCCTGGGAATGTTGATATGAGTGCATTTATGGTCTACTACATTAGTTCCCAATTAGTAATAATTTACTATTATTCACATCACATGGATCTTCATTTCCCTCATCTACTCTCTGCTGTCTATTTGTCAGTTTTGCTAATAATCAAAATGAAGTAGGTTTTTAGTTTCAAAATTGCTTTCACAATCTCAGATTGCTAAAGATTTGATGCTAATCATGACTAATTCAAATTTCTGAAATGTTTCCAATTGCCTTATTGCAAAGGTAATTGCTACTTATTTCTTTTGATTTGTTAAAATTTTTGATATGATAAGCAAATTTTCATGTTCTCACTCTTAATGACTAATCAGTCAAAATAATCCCTATAAAATAACAGAAACCAGACTGACGAGAGAATTTGGTCTAAATATATTCAAATGAAATAGCAATACCAGTCTTTGGCTCTTGGTTCACTTAGTCTTATTGCATTGTTCTATTCTAATCACCTGAAATCTTGAATACTTTCAAGGATTTTAATTGCAATCTACCATTAATTGTCATTTTGAAAGTTTACTTGGATGTCTCAACTGAAACTAAATAAGGATTTATTCATTTGATGTCCTTGATCTATCACAAATTGGACAATCTTATTGTTGGATAATATTTTCTATGAATATTTGCTGTTTTGAGAATCTTGAAAAATATGAGGAAAAACCCAAATCAGTTATTGATTAAACTTGGATGTTCAAGTTTTATTCAAATGAAAGCAGAAACATTTATTAAGGATAAAACTAAAGAATAGTATTTCATTAATATCTTTCTTTCTCTGAAATTACATTATTCTGAAATGAATTTTTTAAAACTAAAAACTAATACTTTTTAAAATTTGGGCTTTGATAAATTCTTTATAAATTCTAATGATGTAACTTTTCCAATGTTAACTTTTTTTTTTTGCAATCAATTATGTTGTATGTAATGCTATCTAAAATCCAATATTCACAATTTATTGATCTTTTCACTTGATAATTCTTAACAGTTTGTTATTGCTTTGAAATAATTGTTTCAATTGACTCCAAGATTCAAAATCTTAATATTTAATATACTTCATTTTACATAAATTTTTTGAAGTCCTCTAATCAAGTGAGCATTTTCTCAAAGATAGAACTTGATATCCAGTTAAAACTTCAGGTTCATAAAAATTAGTTTCTTTGATAAGCTATACAATACTCTTTTTTCTTTTTTTTTTAACCAATTTTTTTTAATGTTTTTGGAATTCTGAAAATAAATTTTGTTTGAGGTTATTATTATTTGACCTTTCTAGATAAATCTTTTCTTAACTATTGAGTTCATTCAAGGCAAAGCATTTTATCAAAATTGACTGTATATAAAACTTAAACAAATACTGAAAAATTCTAAAATCAAATTGTCCATGCCATTGTTTATAATATTAACACTAACTGTATAAAATACCATTTAAAGACAGATACCAGTTAAAATACACAATGGATATGTTCTCATTTGCTCTAACATTTCTGTTTATTTAATAAGTGACATATCTCTACTAAATAAACATACTCTATCAAAATGTTTTACTTTCTTTTTTTTTTCTTTGGTTGCTTATATTACACAATGCACTCTTCTTGAGAAGCAGCTACTTTTGATTCTGGTCCACAGCTATAATAGATTACTGCTCATAGTAATTAAGTTTTTCACTTTCAGATTTTGTTTTTCAAACTTAAAAATGCAAATAATTTTACTAAAATACACACAAAATAATTATATTTCAGTATTTTAAAATAAAACTGTTATATTTACAATCAGTGAACTGAAATTATGTTTCAATCCTATATATATTCTGTTCAAAAGTAAATAAAAAAATATTGTGCTTATTTTTAGCATTCTTGTCCATCATTACAATAAGGAGAAAATCAGGAACACAATGGTGTATGCATAGACACACAGTTGAAATGTTATGTTATGAAAATCTTTTCAAATATCGATATATTTATCTAGAATTTTAATCATTTTTTCTTTTTTTGATAATTAATATTTATATGATTTTCCTTTTCAAGTGATAGCAAAAGGAATTTTCATCAGAGATAAATTTACTATATCTTTCATTCTGCTCTCAGTACAAGATTTTTTTACAATATTTTATATAGGGAACATTTTTGAAAATTGATTTTTCTACAGTTCCAAAAATACCCTTTTCTCATAAGAGTAGTAAGAATGTGAATTATTTTTATTTATTATTAATTGAATAAGTAGATGTCCTTTTTATTGCATGATGCTTCCTTCAGAGGTTATCTACTGTGACAATTAAGGAATTTTTTAATGAAATTTACATCACTTTTTTAAGAAAAATAACACAAAATCTGTTACTGTTTAGAGATGTATATATATATAGATATATATATTATTTTAATTTATTCCCATTTATCTAATTCCTTTTAGGTCATTGTGACCTTTATGAAATCTAATAACCTAGTCTGGATATAGAGTCCAGTACTAAAGACACCTTCAAAATTTGAAATGTTCGAAAAGAAAGTATCTGTTAAATTTTACTTGCATTGTCATGTTATCAGTTGCTTCATTTGTATTCTATTCATCAGTCCAAGTCATTGTTCTATTTCCTAATCAGTTGAATTTCACAATATGGGAAAGAAAAAAAAAAGAAAAAAAAAAAAAGAGAGACTAAGCAGTGAAAACCTAGGTCATGTTGACTTTGGATTCAAAAATCTGTTAAAATTTTTCATTGAATGAAAGTAAGACAAGGCAAGGCATCGTTGTTGAAAAGAAGCAGATCTTGTTGAAATGTTAATATCTTTGAGTTGAAAGCTGTTAAGTGCCTTGCGAAATATGCCCAATCTAATTGGCTGCTGCTGCTGCCAGGTAGGTGCTTGCTCACTGCTTTCAAAGTATGTCATTCATTTGCTCATCATTGCATCACCTGCAATGATGTTACTTGCAGTAGAAATATGACAATGATGCTGGTGACACCGGCCACTCAACTGGACCACTAGCCTTTGTTTTTGTTTTCGTTTTCTCTCTCTCTCTCTCTCTCTGTGTGTGTGTATATATATATATATATATATATATATATATATATATATATATATTCCTCTCACTCCTTCTGCTGCTACTGCTAATGCTACTTCTCCTATTTGTCGCCTTCTCTCCATCTGCCTGCAGCAGGCCGACTAGCTTCAGTAGCAGTAGTACATCAGTAGCCTCCTTAGCTGGCAAGCCATCACTACATTGCATTGCACATGGGCTTGCCACTTTGCTGGGAACTTAACACATGCATTATAAACTCTCAAAAGTCCTACCACTTCATGGCCTTCTTGAGACTTTTAATACTATTCTAGTTTTTAGATTTGGCTTTATTAGACATCTCTTTAAATATTTCTGTTTGTAAATAATTTCTTATTGTTTTGTTGTTTCTTCTTTTTGTTCCAATTTTACTATTCCTTCTTCAACCTCAAATTCAAACTCAATTATTTCCTTTTTTGTTTTTATTTTATTTATTTATTTTTGTTCTGTGATAGTTCAATCAATGGCAAACTGAAAAAATGTTAACCAGGTTGTTTTTTTTTAATACCTGCCTCTGAATACTAATATAGAATACGTAAACATGAAAAATAATCTTTCTTATCCACTTTTTAAGTTATTTGCATTATTCTTTTTCTTTGAAAAATAAAAAAAAGTAAGATGATTTTTGGCATTTGATAGAAATTTTGTTCAATTTTGTTGTCTGTTCTTTTCTGGTAGCTTAGTATAAACTTAAATATTCTTGACATTGAAATATTTGCACTATACACCTTTTGTTATTGATTATCATACAAAGAAAAAGATTTGAATTCATTCAACTTTGACATCAGTATTTTAATCTCTCTCTCATATGTTTTTGAAAAACTCATAAGATTTAGAAGTATTCGCATCAAAAATTTGCAATTGCCTACAGTCAACCATAACTTATTTATAGAATTGCACAAATCTAAATTACTTGCTTTGCCAGGTACTTTACTATAACTGCTACATTTATTTTATAAATTCCAAATAAAGAGTAAGCTAGTGATTTTTATTTTTTACTATCCTTCAATTAATGTTATAATCCTTTTATCAATCTGGCAATTTAATTACAGTTAAATATTCAAGTGATGGAGTTATCTTTTAACTTTTTGGGATACCATTTATAAATTTTTCAGCAAGTTAGGTTAAAATTCTTGTATTTACTTTTTGGCATTAACTAATTTATTTTCTCTTCAAAGTATTTAATTAGTCAAAATGAAATGCTTTCAATTTTGGTTTTTCTATCTGTATTTTACTTTTAATTTTCCTTCAATAATTACAAATAAATTTCATCAGTTATCTTCAAAAAAGCAAATATATTTGTTTAGAATAATAAAAAATAAACATTACTCAAATTTCTGTAATTAGTTACAGTGGAATATGCTAAGGTTTCTTTTTTGTTGACATCAAATATAGGTTCTTTTCTGTTTGGAGATATCTCAACATTTGGTACATATATTTAAAAAGGATTTAAACCTATACTCTACAAAATTGCTTTATTTTCATTATTGAAATCATATTTATAATAGAGACATTAATTTAATTATTTTTTAAAATACCAATCACATTACAAGAATAGATTGCCACTTCATAAGCTGGAGTTTTGCACACAGCCATTGAGCTGCTGTACAATTTTTACATTAAAAAAATTGACTTAACAAAAAAAACAAACAAACAATTATTTGTATAACTCTAAATTCAAAGCAAATTACTCTATGCTAATGGTTTTGTTAAATTATGTGAGTGAACTGAAATCTTGATGATGCTGACAAACTTGAAAATTTTCAGCCGTATTTTAAATG